CCTTCTCTTGAGTGGTGTCGAGTGGGCGCCGCGGGGCAGGCAAGAGCCGGAGGACCCGCAAACACCGCCGTCGCCGCCGAGTCAGCGCCAAGTGCGCTCGCCGAGTCGACGCCGCGCGGGCCAGACCCACAGCCTCATGGAGAGTGCAGACGACAGCCCTCGGGCCAGGGTCGGGAGCCTACAACTCCCAGCATGCAACGCACAATCAGCACTTCCGGGCGGTTTGGGTGTTAAAGCTTGCTACCAGCGCTCACTGAGAGGCGTGGTCGCCGGGCCCGCGGTGCATGCCGGGATGGGACATCCGGCCACCCTCCCCAACTCTCCTCGAATCCTTAATCCCTGCTCCGGGTTCCAGAAGTAGGGCTTGCTTTAGCCGCCCCGCCTTCGTGTAGTTGATAGGTTACGTTGCGGAGCTACAGATACTAGCATGATTCAACCACGTTTGAGTCAGTTGTTTAAATACTCTCCGGTGGCCCCCACGTGTGCAGCCACGTGAGGACTTTTATGATGAGCACGTAAAAGTTTTAAAACTTTACCGATATTTTGTCATATTTGATACATAAGGATTTCATATTTAGGAAGACAGTCATAGATTTCCCCTGTGGTGTCTTATTCATTTATTTACTTATCGATTTATTAATAATGCAGAGGCAGTAGGTTTAAGCTGTCTGCATTTTAACCATCTCTGCTGCTTAGGGAAACCCTAGTGGCGTAGCGGTTTACTCTTCGGGATGCTCACCTCAAAGTAGAAAACCTTGGTCGCTCCTCATGAGAAAGACTTTCCACTTAGGTACAGTCTGGGAAGCCCTTGGGGGTTTCAACCCTCCCCTGTGGGGTCATCGTGGACTTGATATGAGTCGGAATTGACATGATGGCGAGTTTTCGTTGGCAGCCCACCAGGTGGTGATTCCAAGCACATTGCCTAATCTGTGCTTTAGTTTGTACTAATGGGAATACTACTAGTACCACCTGTTAGGAAGGAAGATTGCGTTAATAGGTGGATTTGGCACAAAGTAAGCGATCAGTAAGGAACCCTTGTGGTGCAAATGTTAAGGCATCGCCTGCTAACCAGAAGGTCTGTGGGTGGAAATTGTTAAAATATGGCAATCTACTTCCCTAAGGATTACAGCCTTGGGAACATTCTGAGGCAGTTCTATTTTACCGCGTTGCTATGGTCAGAATCAATGGCAAAGTGTTTCATTTGTAAGCACTTATGGTTTCATTACTAATTATTCAATATACACTGAGTACAGACCATCAAAACTTGGAGGAAAAAATGGAGACAACTGAATACAGTTGATGTAAC